CTTTGATCTTGTTCCAATAAAATTGTGCGAATATGTCTTAAGTCTAAATTCTAGGATTACATTTGTAAATTAAATTGATTTTCACGATATATCTTCCGATTAGAGTGTCGGGATGAAAACCTCTAATTGTGTTATAAAAATAAATAGTTGATATGATTGATCCAATCCAATTTAGGGAATTCCAACGTTTCACTGTTTCGAATTATTGATTTTAATTTCACCTTTCAACATTAAACTTTATTACACATTTGAGAGAACAATTTAACATTTTTGATCATTTAAATATTCTTCCATCTCCCTGTGGATACGACACTCTAAAGTTGTGCTACAATTATCGCGTTATTATTTCACGTTTCAATATTGAATTTTATTACACATTTGAGAGAACAATTCAGCCTTTTTGATCCTTTAAATATACTTCCAGCTCCCTGTGGATACGACACCTCAAGGCTGTGCTACAATTATCGCGTTATTCTTTGAGCGTAATTATGTTGGAAAGAGAATTTTTCGGTACTTGTAAGGTACAACTGATTTTAGGCTGTTCTACCAGAAGTGAGAAAATGTAGATTTAGTTGGCTTTACTGACAGTGATTATGTTGGAGATCTAGATGATAGAAGAAGCACATCTGGATATGTTTTTATGATGGGCTCAAGAGCTATTTCATGGTCTTCAAAGAAGCAAGCAATTGTTACTTTATCGAAAACTGAAGCATAGTTTGTTGCTGCAACAGCGTGTGCTTGTCAAGCTATCGGGTTGAGGAAAATTCTTGAAGAGCTTCATTGCAAGCAAGAAGAAGCCACTACAATTTATTGTGCCAACAGTTCAGTAATAAAGCTCTCTAAAAATCCTGTTCTATATGAAAGATGCAAGCATATTGATGTGAAGTATCACTTTTTAAGAGATCTCACGAAGAATGGGGTCATTGGTCTTTCTTACTACAAGAGTGAAAACCAAATTGTTGATATAATGACCAAGCCTCTCAAAATAGCATCGTTTGTGAAGCTTCAAAATTTGCTTGGTGTCTGTGCTTTGGAAAGTCTAGTTTGAAGAAAATTCGCTGCTGATATTTTTCAAACTGAAAGTTTGAAAACTTTTAATTAAGGGAGGAATTGTTCAGTTTGAACACTTTTAATTTAAGGGAGGGATTATTGAATGACTTGGTCAACAATCGTTTGTTTTTCTTTGTCCTATTTCATAGGCACTTTCATGTATTTATTTATTTCAGTTTTATTGTTATAGTTAGTGGTCAGTAGGAATAAGTTTGCATGATTACATGTTTAAGTTAGTGGTCAGAGTTTGTTGCTATATTCTTGATATTATCCATTGTAATTTTGCCTATTTAAAGGATGTTTACTCAATGAACAACGTAAGGCAAAAACAAAGTTTTCTCTTCCAATTCTTTTGGTCTTCTTCTATTTGTCCTTTACCTATTTATCACAGAATGTACATAAAGCTACAAACAGAATATAACATGCAACAAAAAGAATCAAGAAATTAATCCGTCTTAAAATTGTTGGATAAATTAGTATATAAATTATATTCCGTTAACAGAAATACGTGCACGCAAATACAGATAGAGTAACGACTTAGCGAAATCATGTTCAAATCATAACTTACTTAAATGTAAAAAAATAGAAGGAGATGAAATGAAGCGAGGCATGCGAATGTAAATTTCCTTACGACGGATTTCGCCTCATGTAACGGTGCTAACATGATCAAATGAACGTCCGTCTCCCAAGTACAACACTTCTTCTAAAATTAATATAGCACACTATTAATTTTGTCGGACGAACCAAAACTTGATTGTATTCTTTTATAACTCAAAATGATATGAAAATTATTTTGACATAATTTAGAGAAATAAAGAATTAGAAATTGATTATTAGGAATTGATTCAAAGTGAAGAAAATGGAATCGGGAGGGTTCTATTTATAGATTTTCATGTGTCACTTTCTAACGGTTGCATCTTTTAGATTACACCATTTTATATTTGATGGCCACCAAACAAGCGCATAATAGGTTAAAAGGGTGCAACTGTGCATTAAACCTAATATATGATCTACTGTGCAGGGTTGTTAAGATCTAGATTCATTTGATCTTTCATTAAATCTATCAATGAATTTAATGGAGTAACGAAATTGATCAACGACCCAACTCTAAAGTTACCGGGACCATCTATTAATCGTAACTCTGTTCTTCAATGAAGTAAACTAACAGTCAAGTATGTTCTAAACTTCTTTATTTTTAACAAATTTACACACTCAATGGCCTAGATTCAAGACGTCAATGTCAAATTTTAAATGCTTGGGACTAAAAAGGCAAGATGAGCAAAGGCTTGGGACCATTTGTGCCAATTTCTATTCAAAAGAATCTGATTTGAATTTACATGGAGGTGTTGCCGGGAGCCATGAGCAATCCAGAAAATGCAATTGGGAAGACAAACTTAATAGGCAAAGCTAGAGAAGAAGAAAGATGTGATGAATGTCTACATTTTTCATTTTTATTGAGGTATATGAGCAACAAATTATTTTCCTACCCTATAATTTTCATTATTTATTATTAGATACTTTGGTGTATGTTTTGAATACGTTTATCCAATTGGCAATGAAATTCTTAATATAAATATGTGTTATGTTGAAGACATTTGTGCCAATGTCAAGTCGACTTCGATCTCACTTATAAGCTAAAAACTGACTTGTTAATTTGGTGGTTTTGGATTTATAAAATTTTGAAATTCGTTGTGTAGTTTTTTTGTTTTTATAGAGTCAGTTGATTTCTATCGTGGTTTAATGGAATATTGAAACTTTATCATTTGTCCAAAGAAATTGATTATGTTTTTATGGAATTATTACGCGGAATAAATTAACATTTATTTATTTGTTGAATTTCGTGTTTGGTACAGATTCTTCAAAAATCATTTTTTTTATAAACTCAATTTTAACAACATTTTTCTCATTAAATAAATTTATATTTGATCTATAATTTTTCTACTTTTTGACCATACATTTTCTAAACTCATATTTCACCAAATTTATTTATTTATTTTTTAAAATCTACACCAAACCTAACCTTGAATAACCATTTGAATACGGGAAAATTACCAAAAACCAGACATTTAGTTTGAGTTTTTAAAAAATCAGGTTTTCACTTTATTTTTCCATTTTTCAGGTTTTTATCATTTTAATAAATTAAAACCTTAAATCTATTCAAACCCTAAATCTATCAATTTCTCTCCACCCTCTCACCTCTCTCCACACGCCGCCTGCTCCATTTCTTTCCTCCCAATTGTTTTTTATCCTAAATTTCATCACTTTCTTGGTTGTAGATAAGAAAAGAAGCAGATGGACAGAACTAGAAATCAGAAAAACATAGCATTTCATTTCATTACCTTAGTTGAAGAGCAATATAAGGCTTAATATTCATCCTCATTCGCTGAACTAACTTCGCACCCATTTCAAGGATGGGGTCAGTGAACTTCAGTGCGTGGTAGTTGACTCTGCACCTGAGCTTTTGTAAATCCGTCTCCAGTTTATTTGCAAGTCTGTAGTCAAATTTGGTCAACATAACAGCCTGTCACAAGATTGGCATCTACTAGTTACCAGCTATTGGTGGCACTGGCGGTGGCGGCGGATTGGTCAAAGTGTTTGTGACCATCTATTTGGTCGATCTGTGACCTGTGACAAAGTATTGGTGATGTATTGGGAGGGGGAAGGGTGTTTGGGTGACTGTGACCCATCTATATGGTAACTGTGACCTTAAAATTCGTTACTTTGTGACCTTAAAATATAACATGTGACCTATAATTTTTTTATCAGTTTTGATCTGTGATTTCGAAATAATCCGTGACCAAATTGCATATAACTGTGACCTTAATAAGATCTATGTGACCTCGAAATCAGAACAGTTTTCTGAATTAAGTTGACTGTGACCTTAATAAAATATCTGTAGTGAGTTAATCATATTATATTATAGTTAAATATTTAATTTAATAGATTAATTGTAAAATATAATTAATAAATTAATGAAAAAATCTGAATTTTGTAATTTAAAACTTTTGGACCTGATTTTTAATTTTCTGAAAGTAAACCTGAACCATAAACTTTTCCAACACTTCCTAGTCACCACAATCCAATAGTAGGCCCAGCCCATTTGAATATCTTATAGTTTGCTCCTACTTTTGCAGTTTCTTCCTTCCCGACAAACAAATCGCAGTAAAGGGCGAAACACACATAGACGCCATGGCCGATGAAGACTACGAGATGGATGGAGGGTCTGTACAATTCGACAATTTTTTAATTTTATATTATAATTATTCTCAAAACCTTTTTTATTTGGATTAGGGTTTATCTAGGGGTTTTTCGTTTTCACTAACTAGAATTCTTTAATATATGTAGATACGAGGATGAGCCTATTGATCCTGAACCCGATGTAAGAAGCTGTATTTCTTTTTCTTTGTGCACAATATCGCTTATATTGTTATCATAATCTGTCGGTGATCAGTTTTACATTGTTGTGGCAATTGATAGGAAGGTGTAGAGGTGGAAGAAGAGAACAATAACAATGAGGATGCTCCCGATGATGTTGTAGGCGAAGGCGAAGAGAAACAGGAGGAAGAACCTGTTGAACGCCCTCGGAAAACGTCCAAGTATATGACCAAATATGAGCGTGCGAGGATTTTGGGTACGCGGGCGTTGCAGATTAGGTGGGTTTTAGGGTTGGAAATTATGTTAAATTTTGGAGTTGATCGAGTAGTTTTTTACTTGGAGGAATGTTTTTGGTTTTGCAGCATGAATGCTCCGGTGATGGTTGAGTTGGAGGGTGAAACGGATCCACTTGAGGTAATATTTGTTAATGATGATAATGAATCTATGCTTAATTGAAGTGCCTCCATCCGGAAATTACACAGTACATTATAAATTGTAACTGAAAGGCTAATTGTTTTTGCTATAACATCCATGTCAATTATCTTTTGCATTATAGTGTCTTGACTATGCAAAACTATTCCAGGATAAAGGGATTGGTCCTTTTTTTTTTTTTTGAGTAAAAATTGATTTTTAGAGTAATCAGTTGAAAGAAAAAGCTTTGAAAACAATACCCTCCTTGAAATGTAATTTTTGCATATGTTGATGACACTAACTTTTGAGCAGTAAAATCCCCCTTATTATTTAAGTTGAATTGCTGGCCTTCGACATGCCATTTCTATATGATAAAAATGGAGCTGTGACAGTTTGCGCACCAGAGAGTGAAGGGACAGGGTAGTGGACGTTGATGCTTATTTGTGCATGATAACATTATTACGTTCTCTACAAATGAGGCATGTTCATTTTTCCTATTTTCTAAATGATTCATCCCATGCAGATAAGCTGCTTTGTGTTAATGGAATGGGAAAATATTCTGATGACTCTTTTCCACCACTAATCTTGACACTTAGTTTTTATTTGCTCTCTTAGAAAGATGTCATCTTTTATACTTTTACTCATCATGGTACTAGTTGTGAAGTTATGACATTGTGACAGAGATGCAAGCAAAAACAATAACACATGATTATGAAACATTGATTCATGCATGAAAACTTTGTTGTATCGAATCCCTCAAATTCATAATTTTTATTCAAAAAGCCAACCAAAGTCGACATAGGCCAAGTGCTTCATAAGGATCAATATTTTATTGTTTTTTTTTTTTTTTGAAATTGCATATAAAACCCTTAGCTCTTTAAAGAAATTACAGAAGGCACCTAAAGAACAATGCATAATAAATAAAAGATAAAAAATAATAATAATAAAATGACTAAGCCCATGCTTGATGACCATTATTTAGGAAAAAAATATTTTGAATAGTGATTTTTAGGGGAATATTAGGTTAAAAAGTAAGAACAAGTTTTGAATTTATGTGTAGAATTTTTTATTGTGTGAATGTGTGGTTAAAAATGAGTATTTAGAATATATAGCCCCTGTTTAGCCCCCATTAAATTAAATTACATTATATTAAATTTTTTTCTCTCTTCATTACAACCACACATTTATTAAATAAAATAATGTTACACACAAATCTAAAACTTTTCATTACTTTTCCACCACACATTCTCCCATCAATCACTATTCCAAAAACTTTCAACTATAAAAAATGTTAAATAATGGGGGCCAAACAGGGGCATAGTTTTCAAATAATGGTCCTCAAACAGGGGCTGGGGCTGAAAGTAACAAATTGAAAAGAGATGAAGCCACGAAAGATGGTTCAAATGGAATTAAATCATTAGCCTACAGTTTCAACTTTAACGTGCACTTGTCAGGCCTATGACATGACAATCTCTGAAAACATATCAATGTCGTGAACGATAGCACATCGATCATTTGTCTGCAGGATACTTAGGTAGAACAATGTCAGGCACTTTGCCATATGGTTGCCACTCAATCTAATAAGAGAAAATAATATAAAATTAATTGAAAATCAAAGAAAATTGAAATCGAGTAACTAAAAATTCATATAGAAGAAATAAACTTACACGGCCACCTTTGAGTATGAGCTCAAATGCTTCTTTTTTCTTTTGGGCACGAGTATCTTTTGATTGGCATTCCAGGAGATCTCTCAATTATCAAAAGAAATCTTAAAAATGCTTCTATATCCTCAAAACTCTCTTTATAAATATCCATGTTATAAAGATTGCGAGAAATTATCGGTAGGCGCTCATAGAAAAAACTACAAACAAATTGAAAATATTAATTATAATTCATTAACTTGAATATAAACTATAGTATTGTTGGTGTGTTTAGCCTAATTTCAATATAGAAAATGTTGTACTTTTCTTGAGAAAGAGGGTAACGAGCTTGTTAGAAGAGATTGTGAAGTTGAGTTTTTGGGAAGTAAGAATTGCCTAAAAAAATAAAAACCTACCCACGTAAAGAAAATGTTTTCCTTGATTTTAAAGAAAACATGATCACGTAACCAACTTTCGAAAAATATTTTTCATAAAAACAATGTCAATCAAACACTCTAAAAGTAGGAATTTAGGCGGAAAAAATGACATTTTAATGGAAAATAAAGCCAAAACTCCTCTTAAGTTCTATTATGTTATGATGAAGTTGACACAATAGAATAAGCCCATGCATATTTTTTTTCTTGTCATCGACATCTTTCAAACATAAAGGTACCTTTTCTATTGTGCATGTGGTTGCTGTATTGTGTCAACTCCATCATAATATGATAGAATTTAAGAGTGCAAGAATGGATGAAAAAGATCTAAATTTTTGTGTACCTTTTCTTATGTAGGTATTATTTCCTTTATTTCCTTTAGAGTGTTTGATTGATTTTATTTTTCATCAAAAATGTCATTTTTCACCCAAGTTTCTGGTTTTTTTTTTTCCAAAATTTGGTCATGTAACCTTATTTTTCTCAAAAATAAGGAAAATATTTTCTCTATGGGGGTTAGGTTTTATCTTTAAGGGAATTTACACTCCCTAAAAACTCAATTTTACATCGATTCTAAGTTAAAATTAAACTAATCAAACACATTTAGTTGACAATTTTCATGCAAATAAGTTTTAAGCAATTCAATTGCGGTAAGAACTTATTTTTTTTCCATGCAAGTTCCATACTTGCAATCAAGCACACCCTTAATACTATACTTTATATAAGTTAATGAATTATAACTAACATTTTTCATTCGTTTGTAGTTTTTTTTTTTTATGAGCACATGTCGATAAATTCTCGCAATCTTTTATGATGTAGATATTTATAAAAAGGATTTTGAGGATGCCAATGTATTTTTAAGATTTCTTATGATGGTTGAGTGGTCTCATTATGTGGAATGTCAATAAAAAATATTGATGCCAAATAGAAAAAAGAAGCATCTGAGTTCATGCTCAGAGATGACCATGTAAGTTTATTTCATTTTTTTATGAATTTTTGGCTACTCAATTTTAATTTTCTTTGATTTTCAATTAATTTTAGGGAAAATTGCACCAAAGGTCTCTAATCTTTTCATTTTTTACAGATTTTACCCTAATTTTTAATTTGTGCCAACGAAGGTTTCATAAATATGCACCTAAAGTCCAACTAGATGGAAACTATCCATTTGACCGTTAGTTGATCAAGAAAAGTGAATTTTGACCAAATTGAAAGGGGTAAAATGGCAACTTTGCATATTTTCAAATATTGACAATTAAAATAATAAAACTAAAAAATACAAAAGAAATCTACCCCCACCCTACCCTATCTTTATCTTCTCCATTTCTACACCACCACCTCAGACAATCATCTTCTCCTCCACATACACTATCAGCTCTCGACCCATCTTCAAAATTACTTTTCAAATCTTCAAAACCCATGCTTGCATTTAATGTTGTTTGCTTAAAGTGCTTTAGTGTAGAGCCTTTAATCGAGAGATGCTGTGTATGTATATTGCGCCTCTTTCTTTTTTCACGAATCACCTTTTTTTTCCTCCACTCTCAAATCTCTCTTACTCCCTTCTTACCTCCACTCTCAAATCACTTTTTTTTTCTCTCTCTTGCTTGCGTGCATACTCTTTCTCTCTCTTCTGTTCATGACATTGTATCCTTTTTATTGCTTCTCTCATAGTTTTGTTTGAAATTTGCATTCCATAAATTTTTTAGAGCATTTTATCATTTGGGATTTTGATTTTTAGCTTATATACATGCTTAAAGATCGACATTATAGTTAATAAAAAAAAAAATACACTTTTCTGCTTTTAGTTTATTTTTGCTGGGTCAGACTTGCAATTGGATCAATGGATATCTCAACGGTTATGAAATTAGGTTTTTGGCAATGCATGGTTGTGAAATGGTGAATACACTAACTGTGAGATTAGGATACACTAATTGTGAGATTAGGATTTTGGCAATACACAATTGTACAAAGATTTAGGTTCGATTTTGATTTTTCATTTCCGTTTGGTAGTGGAGAAAATAATGACGGATGTGGTGATGGCTGTGGGTTTAGTGGTGGTGGTGGTGGTGGTGGTGATGGCGATGGGCTACTAGCGGTAGCGTATAGCAGTGATTTTGGATGGGGATGGGAAGTGGGTGGATTTGGATGGGGTGGAAGATGCTGGATGTTTTCTTATTTTTTATTTAATGATTTTAACTATTCAATGTAAGAAAAATGTAAATTTACCATTTTTCTCATTTTAATTTGGTCAAAATTGGTCAATGTCCACTCTTTTTTTGGTCGATGGTCAAATGGATGGTTTCTATCCAATTGGACTCTAGGTGCATATTTATGAAATGTTAGGGACCTTCGTTTGCACAAATCGAAGACTAGGGTAAAGTCTCAAAAAATTGAAAAGTTTAGGCATTGATGCTGCAATTTCCCCTTAATTTTATGTTATTCTCTGGTTAGATCATGTGGTAGCCATACGACAGATTGCCTGACATTGATATGTTTTTGAAATTGCATATAAAACCTTGAGCTCTTTAAAGAAATTACAAAACGCACATAAAGAACAATTCATTATACATAGAAGATTTTTTGAAAAATGACTAAAAGTGGCAGATTGGAAAAAGAGGAAGTCATATTCATTGTTCTCCTGAGGTTGACGAAGATTCACCCTCGAATCTTGATTGTACTTTCATCTTCTAGGTAAGTCAATAAGGAAACCGACTTTTAAGATGTATTGCATGTATAAATAAAGTGAAAATTTTTCTGATTAAATGATTGGTTCAAGGATTCCTCACAATCTCGCAAATTTTCTTCCACTTACTTGAAATCTTTACCGAGATGCTCAAATTAAGACTTAATCCCATGGAAACCTTTGTCTTAAACTTCCACATTTGTTAGCATCCAAAATACTTTTTCCTTGTTTTTATCAGTTGAATTTAAGTATTATTTCTATCACATTGCAAGGTTCCTTACAGATCCACCACTCCAACTCCTCTGTTATTTGGTTCATATAATTTGGAAAAAAGGCACATTTCTTTTTTTTTTTTTTGGTGAAATTGCATAGACAACCTAAAACTTTAAGAAATTATAAAAGGCACCTAAAGAACAATTGACATTAAAAATAGATCAAGTCATCTTCATCACATTGCCTATGCTTAAAAAGCATGCTTTGATTAAGCGGGGTTGTAAGACATTGAACACTGTTCTTTTCTTTTGGACCTAGCAAAATTTATAACTAATACTTTTCTTTTTTATTTTCAATACTGTAAGAAATCTTAGGGGTGTCATGTGTATAATACCACACGTAATTTTGTGGTGTATTTGGCCGGATGGATTCTTGGCATAAAAATGGAATCTAGAGAGCACTTCACAATTCTCCTAGCAAGGATAGTTGGTGCATTGGGGTTATTATTATATTTTCTTCCTATCGTTGTACACTTGAAAAATTTTCTTCCTATCATTGCACACACGAAAAATTTGAAGCTGAACTCATGGCTGACATCTATCCTTCGAATTTCAGAGTGATTTATTGTGCACATTTTTCGTTTCTTGAAGCAAGGAACTTAGTTGACGTGTTTTCCTATTTTCACATCTTTTGGTTGTACCTTATCCTTCTTTTAGATTGCTATGAAAGAGCTGCGAGAGCGAAAGATACCATTCACCATTCGCCGTTATCTCCCTGATGGAAGGTATCAGTCTATTAACTCGTATACTTGCTGACTTCTTTTCTCAGAGTCTCTTGTACCCATTTTCTAGTATCTGCTTTCCGTCTCCTCCTGATTATCTTTTGGTGTAATACAGTTACGAAGATTGGGGAGTTGATGAATTGATAGTGGAAGACTCCTGGAAAAGGGGGGGGGGGGGGGGGGGCTTTGTTTATAACGCTTGTGTGTTTGTGTATGTGGAATTTTTATACTGTACCACCTTTTAGGCATCATCTACCAGGCATATCTTCATACATTGCTGATTGTTTCAAGTGTGTGAGAACACAAATCAGGAGTGTTGGTTTATGCATTCATAGGGGTGTCATGCAGGCCGGAGAAGCGTTTCTAAAGCAACGCGTTTTTAATTATTTTATTTTAAGAAAAAGAACATTGGAAAGGAAAAAAAAAATGGAAAATGAATATTTGCTATAGGAGAATATTTTGATTCTCAAGGGTAAAACTATTTTGGTCTATGAAACTCGAATTTATGTATTAAATCAAATTCAAATATTTTATTATACACTATTTAAAAGGAGGACTACGTNACTATTCACGAGCCGCTCGTGAGACGAGCCTACGAGCTCGTGGGCTCGTCTAAGACGAGCCTGCCTGGGCTCGTCTAAGACGAGCCCATATATAAAAAAATAAATAAATAAATAAATAAAATTCAGTGATATTTGAATAACTAATTTCTTCTTTGCAACAAAAATAGTGATAATGGTGTGCGTGTGCATGTAATATGTATGTATTTTGAAATTTAAAACCTTTAACTAGAATGTCACTAAATTACTTTCAAATGAGACACAGTGAAAGAAAATTTTGTGAAACTTTTGATTTTTCCTATTTTTGCAACCCTTTAATCAGGTAAAATCTGCTTAAAGATTAGGAAAATAATTCATTTTTTAGAAGATATAGATCAATTGAAATTTGTCATCGAGGGAAGTGGATATCAATATCTCATTCATGTATATTATTATTATTATTATTATTATTGGAAATATTTAAATTATTAGAAAAAAGTCCACCACTCAAATTTTGAACGTCAAAATGACATGTCTCGTCTCATACCAACGTTTAAATGAAGTAACTCAAATTCTAAATAAAAAATGAACATGCCCTAGACAATATATGGTCCATGTCTTCAAGAACTAAATAACAAATAACATTAACATTAACAATGAAAAAGATGGACCGATTTCAGTATTTTCTTGATAAAGAAATATGCTTTTTCTCTCTTGTTAAAAAGGAATATGCAATTTGACAATTGAGATTGTCTTTATTCAGTGGTTGCTTGTAAGTATTGTGGATTCTTGCCTTTTATTATTTCCATTCAATTCACATATATTTTAGCAGATAAAAGTAGCACCCTTTTTTGCCTTCCTTTCCCATCAGCTTCCAATTATAGAAAGCAATAACCTCACATAAAATGGATCCAGGTGTGGATATCGTCGGGTACATAAAATCTAAACAAACCCTTGTAAAAATGTTATCTTTATTGTCAGTTTTGACTTTGTTTCTCTACTTGTATCATTTATTTCTCATTTGAGAGTGAAGACTCAAAGTTACAGAGAGAAAAGAAACAGAATCTAGGGTAAAATCAAGAACCCATAACTCCATAAAGGTGACTCCTTTTCCCTTTTATTCTGTAATTCAGAGTGTTAATGTCAAGATTATTTTTAATTTGGTAAGTTTGTTCTCATCATTCATACTCAAGAAAGATCTTGGCGGATTTGTGGGTGCAGAATATTTGGTTTATTGAACTTCATAAGCTTGCTTCTACAATTCAATGCTGCTTTGTGAATAATTGATTTTAATCATATTTTCTTATTTTTACTTTTAAACGTGTTCTGATTATGAAGTCCGAGAGTCAAAATTCAGGAATATTTTATGAATCTTTTTGGCGTCTGTGATAGAGGGTATTTTTCTGAATTTATCTTTTAAAAATCATTAACCAACAGAAATGTGAGTCAACATCAATGAATTAGAACGTCAATACAGATTACTTTAATTTAATGTTGAACTAAGATTTTTGTTCGTCGAAGTAAATAACTTCGAAGTAAATAACTTTAAATATTCATTTGCACCTATTGAAACATCAATTGCATTTTTTTCCTTGCGAAATCATTGTTGGTTCCCAGTCGTAATTGACAAAAATAAAACAATATAGTCCTCCATAATTCTGTTTATTTTATGAATAGTGCAGAAGCAAAATGTAATCATTGATATTTAATGCTCAATTGAGAATAATCTCCATAATAGTCCCTCTATTGTTTCTTGTTCATGATTTATTATTAAATATTTCCATGTCTTGAGGAGTAATAAAGGTTTCGGTTTCAGTTACGTGTTGCATCAGTCCTATAAAAGGGTTTACAGAATTTGTCCACCTGTAATGAAGCCAACCTAAAACCAGTTATCTTAGCACCCTGATCAACAAGAATGCTTAGAGAAAAACAGTGGCGAAAAGAAAAGAAACTTTTTTAATAATTTTGAAATCAAGATTCTATAATGATACATACATGGGTAAATACATTTCCTCTGATACTAATGGCTAAGTGTGAATGTAATATGAAAAATCTTGGCAACGATTTATTGGAAATGAGACGTTCTTATACCTTTCTTAAATTGCTTGATTTATGAACTTTAGTTTCTGTGAGCACTTTATCTGCTCTGAAATTCTCCGTCATTTAGTGAATAATAATAATAATAATAAGCAGGAAGGGAGTGATATTCTCTGATAATATCTGAAACATCCATGATGAGTAACAACGAGGCATATAACCATGATCTGAATGGTATGAGCCCATCTGAAATTTCTGTACACTTCAAAGAGATTTATCCCGAATTTGGTGATCTCGATGTTGAAGAAGTCCTTCTACAACAGGTACTTCGGATTTATTCCAGCTTGGATACACTTTCCAGAACGGTCCTGTTTTCTGTTGCTCTATTCTGAAGTTATTTGACCGACTGATTCTATGTTCTATCTCAGGAAAGTGCATATCTACATATTCAAGCCAGTGGAAAGGCAAAAGTTACAACATCTGACTATGGCCAAACTAAAAATAGGGGTCAGTTTTCAGCACAAGAGAGCGAATCACAATTAGCTCTTGATGAAGCCTTTGCTAGATCTTTGGAATTGGGGGACGACTTTGCCAACATATATAGTTCTGAGCATGGTAGCATCGTAGCTGGTAATAAATTCTCGGCTTCATGTACTTTCATTAATATAGCATGTATTTTCCAAAGTACGTTAAAAACACTGGTGCTCACTAAACTTCTGGCGAAATTTCATGTTGACCATCAAGCTTCATCTTGTTTCATGTTGGTCATTTGGTCACAAAACTTAAAATCATTTGTTAAGATTTGGAAACTTCATCCATGTCTATTAGTTTGACTAACTGTAAAGCTGATGTGGCAATATATTTGGCAGACTCAGCGGCAAATTTCTAGACTGCTACATTACCTTTTCCGTTAGTCAAATTAACAGATATGGATGGAGTGACTAACTTGAACAAAATGAAGTTTAGTGATCAAACGTTTAACACTGTCATCTCATGCTGGTGGAGAGGCAAGCAATAATCATCGCAGAAGCCTTTTGTATGCAGGCATAGGTGTTTAGATATTCTTTGCTTGATAGTTACATAAGGAAATCCAATAGTTTACTTGCTAAAAGAACTCTAGTTCCTTCTGGTATCGGTTTCAAATTTTAATTTCTGTTTTTTCATTGCCATATTGAGTTCGTTTTTCACATATTAATGCTAATATTGAGAGTGACCTCTACATGAATTGCAGAGAGCACAAATTCAAGTCCCAGGGAAATACCTGCCACGGTACTTGTGGAAATTCCCGCACCTTTCTGGGTGCGTATTGTGCATCTTAAGGTTAGAGTTCGTGTTATGATTCTTGGTTTGTGTGATTAAATGCAGACAGCGATTCAAAACACAAGGGAAGATGAAATTGATCCAGACACTATGAATTATGAGGTTGGTTATGTGAATGCATGCATATTGTGTATTTTGTTCTACCCTTTAATTCTTTGCTCCAAAATAAGAAATTAGTTGCAGACCATGAGTCTTTTTTATGATGTTTACAGGAATTGCTTTCACTAGGGGAAGCTGTTGGCCATGAGAGCAAAGGACTTTCAGACAATCTCATTTCTCGTTTACCGACTTTTAAATACAAAGCCGGGTTGTTCTCAAAGAAAAAGAAAAAAGAAGAGTAGGAGCTCTCTGATCTCCAATCTGTACCAATTGTGTACATATTGTATGTTAAGTGAAAAATGTTTCTCACCCCAGATAACAAGCTGATTGTTATGTGAGAGCATGTTTGGCTAAGTTCAAAGAAAATTAGAAGTAAACTATATAGAATTACTTTAAGGAAGTATGTTTGTGAATTAAAAATCTTAAAAAAGGACTGAAAAAACCCAAAACATGTTGGGCAAAAAAAGTTACCTATAAGTAACGTTTAAGCTTAATTAAACATGCTTTATAGCAGCTGTTGTTGGCTAGGTTCCAAGAAGTTGGAGATGTAGGTGTCAAGTATTTGATGGGAGACGAGTGTTTTTTAATGGTGGTTCTATAATTCAATGCATGATAAAGTATATAGAGAATACTCTTCAATACATTAAATGATATAGCCCCATACACTGATTAGAAGAAAATAAACTTTTTGATGAGTTTTACGTGTTCTTTGTCTACGTTTTAGGTGTGTGATATGTTGTGCCGAGTACAAGAATGGAGCTAAGCTGATAACTTTGCCTTGTGCACACCAGTATCATTCAGGATGCATTACACGTTGGTTGAAACTCAATAAGGTGAGGGTAATTTGTGTGTCTTTTTCATTTTGAGAATTATTGACCCTTTTGTCAAAATATTATTGAGCTTATTCATCTGCTTGAATTGTCATCACGAGACGTAAAGAATGGGTACTGCATACACATACAAAGGACGTTCTTTGAACTCTTAAGAAACAAAAAATGGATTGTACATTGGTTAGTAATGAGTGTGATCTAAGCATTATTGCATGAATCAATTTCCAAAAAAATGTAATGTTTAGTTTCTGCAACACCTGTAAGTACTCTTTATGTGGAAGTGTAACTCTCGCTCGCTTTCTCACAGAATTGTCCTGTGTGTCTAGAGGAGGTTCGAGGAGAATAATGTGTGAAACTTTCCTTGACAGAGTACGGCCTATGTTTCTCCTTGCATCTACTTTGGCAGCATCATTGGATAGTAATATTGGATTAATCCTGTTTTCAAGTTTACAAATTCTACTCTAAAATAATTTTACTTGATTAAGTACTGGTTTGTGTATATAGCCTAGGAGTTACTCTTAGTAATTTGCAGGCATTATACCTGTACTTGTAACTGCCTTGTAAAGATTGTTCGCAGTGGATGTAAAATACCATATTGACAGAACTTTGTGCTTGCCTGAGTCAATGTATGATGGTTAAATTATCTTCGCTTCCAGTTTGAATATGATTGTTAGTTATTGTGTATCATCTCACAGTAATAGAATGCAGATCAACAAAAAGAGGAATGATTAAGTATTTGCCACGTGGAGAAATCCTATATTCCATCCGAAGGATAAACCCCCACCTATCACAGGGGGCCAGTTGGCTCCCTGGCAATACCAGGGCTAGCATGATTGCCATCCGTTTACTTGGCAAAGTGTAGATTTTCAAGTCATTACATAATGAGTCATATGCTTATTTGGATTTTGGGATTTTAATGCCTAACTGTGATATGACATATGTCAACAAAATAGTCCAACTAGACACCATGGCTAAAAGTAAGCCCCAATTGTTGTGCTCTCTGGATTTCAAAACTTTACGCATAATATTTATACGTAAGATTTTCAAATTACGATATTCTAGAAGAATGCAAATATCATATTTGCACCAAACTGTTGATGTTTTTGAATTCATGTCCATATTTACACTTGCAAGAAGCTTTGGAGATGATTAAACCACAAATGGAAGATAGGTAGAGCAAAGAAGAACCTAAGTACAAAATGGTAAAGGTAAATAAACAGGCTGTACAAAAATTTATGCCATTGCCAGTTCACTTACAAGATCAAACCACAACAGTGAACAAACTACTAGTCATGCCTTACAGCTATAGTCCATATTTTCATCGAGATCACTGTTAAAACAATCTGTTTTCTATGAACTCATGGGCAATATCTCGTCCCATATTGTCTGGTAAATGAAGGTTTTGTGAAATATCTGATTCTGTTAGTTGAATCCATTATTTGCAGTAGCAGCAAACTTACTAGTTGAAGCAATTTTGAAACTAATGCTTCTGCTTCCACCAACATTGCCTTGCACCCATGCAGCTGGATTAGTTGCTGGTGAATGGCTGTTTCTAAACCCTGTTACTGGAAATTCGACTAACGCAATCGAAATAACAAATAAAAATAACAGCAAATAAAAGTAGAAGATGAAGCTAGGTATGTCAAAGCAATTCTCCTTAAAATAGATTTTGCCCCCCAACAACGTGCAAATGGGATTATGGACGTCTGTCTCCCAAGATACAACGCTTATTCCAAAGTCGATACTGCACAATACCAACCTTGTCGGTCGAACCAGCCATGCGACGCCACGCGTGCGTCCAACTAAACCAATTGCCACGCAGGACGAAGTGACACAACCTATTACGTGTGTGCCACATAGGATGCCAACTCATCCAGCCTCCCGTTGCCATGTCATCGAACCTGAGTCCATTTCTGAAAACTATAAGGCTCTCCAGCTCCTCGTGACGATGCGTACGTGCGAAGTGCGCCTCTAAAGCGTCCAATGCGAACTTTGCGACATGCGCGGGCCAGGATCGGGATCCTGGCCGGGGTACAGCGCCAGTGGTGCAAAGAACCACTCTAGTGGTGGCTAATTTGTTAGCCTTTGGCTAGCCAAAGGTAGCCAAGTTGTAGATCACACACATCCCACTATAACAAGTTTTTTTTGTAAACTTTCGATGTGAGATT